TCTACAGCTTTCTTTTTCCCTTAGCAGTATGTTCAGGAGTTCTTTCCAGATCAAGAAACACAAACTAACCTTAATCTTTTTAATGACCGCAGAGCATTCTATTGTAAGGACCACAATTTCCTTAATCACTGGGTAGGGGTTGTTGGTATTTTTCAAAGGTACTTTATTTACTCAAGAGGGAGAATAGAGAGGAAATAATAGCAGGAAATCAAAATAGCCCAGTGATATTCCTTTTCCGAAGGGCAGGTTGTGACCTCTGGCCTCTGTCAGGAGAGAGCTGACCTCTCAATGGTTCTGCCACTGGATAATCTGGGGCAACTCAGGTGGACTCTGGATCGTACAGCTGGGCTAGAATCTTAGCTCCTTCAACCATTAGTCGTAGATCATGAACCTCAGTTTTCTCATCTATAAAACGGAATAATGATAGTACTTACCTCATGGTTTGTTGTAAGGATCCAACTCAGTAAGGTGTAATTCCCCCCTCTCCTGTGGTGGACTCCATTTCAGTGAATGCCGTGATCACCCACCCTTGTCACTTGGCCCACCACAGTTTCATCCTTGACCTTTTGCTTCCTCTCATACCCCACAACACATGCATTGGCAAGGGCTGCCAGTCCTGCTTTCTAAATATAGCCCATACTTGACTCCTTCCCATTTCCGTACCAGCCTCCTTCTTGCCTCTACCCTCACCCTCCCTTAGCCTATTCTCTACACGCAACCAGAGGGAGCCTGTGACACTTTGCAGTCAGACCCTGACACTCCTCTGCTCAGCCCCTCTGGTAGCTTCTTATCTGGCTCAGAATAAAAGCCAAACTCCTTCCTCAGCCTTCCAGGCCCTCTTTTTGACCAGGCAGCCTCGCTGCCCTCATCTTCTGTCTCATTCTCCATCCCCCCACTCCATTCCAGCCACACTGGCCTCCGCATTGTCCCTTAGACACATCACGTGCCCTCACCTATCCTTCTGTCGGGGACCCTCACTCCTAGATTTCCACATGGCTTGCTCCCTCAGGTGTCACCTCATACGTTGCCCATCAGAGAGGCCTTTCCTGACCATCTTATCGAAAATGGCCCCCTCTTCTTGGCAAAACAAAGCCATGAGGAATGGGAGAGGCTTTCTCCCAGGCCACCTCCCTAGAAGAGCTGCTTCCCTTTAGTGGGGGACCTCAGCACCCCGTGTTCAGACTCTCTCTCATGGGATTCTCATCCCTGTCTCCTGCAGGTGAGAAGCCCTACAAATGCTCAGTGTGTGAGTCCGCATTCAATCGCAAGGACAAACTGAAGAGACACATGTTGATCCATGAGCCATTCAAGAAATACAAATGTCCCTTCTCGTGAGTAGAGACTGGCATGGAGGGGGTGCAGGTTTACCCAGTGGCAGGATAGAAAGATGGTCTGAGGTCTGAAGGCCCTCTCGACTTTTATCCTGTCCTGGGCCCTGCCTGCTGGCTTCACTCTCCATCCTACTTCTTTGCTGAGCCATTAGGGTGGACAAGGGGGTCGTCATGCCCAGGACTAGCAGAGGGGCCAGCAAGAGGGTCCTGAACTTGGTGAGCACCCCCTGATCAGCGGCTGGCTTTGGGTTTTAGGACGCACACAGGCTGCAGTAAGGAGTTCAACCGGCCGGATAAGCTGAAGGCTCATATTCTCTCCCACTCTGGTAAGTGGTTTGTGGACCTGTCAGGAGAGTCTGGTTCAGCTTAAGCCTCCTGGGGCAGGCTCTCCAGACACATCCCATGAGGCGTATTGTCCCTGTCTGGTACATTCCAGCCAACAGATTTTTGCTCATGTGAGCCATGAGCCAGGCCTGTATTAGGGTCCACGGGGTACAGAGAGGTGAGTCAGACACAGCCCGCCACTGAGGGGCAAGCCAACCTGAGAGGCGATGACTATAAATCAGAGAGGTGCTTGGTGTAATAGAGGTATGGGTCAGGTGCAGCAGGAGATCAGATTATGACTGGGTCCAAGATAAGGCCAGGAAGGTTCCTGGGTCCCCTCAGCAGAGCAGGGCAGCTGGGATGTGGAGTAGCGGTCTCCACACCATTCTTCAGTTCCTGGGGGCTCCATGGAGCTTCCCCAAAGCAGCTTGGCTGGCTTTCCACAAACCATTTGGTCTAGAACAAGGTTTCTGTACCTCAGCACTATTGATATTTTGGGCCAGATAATTCATTGTCTTTGGGGCTGCCATGTGTACTGTAGGATATTGAGTAGCATCCCTGACCTCTACCCACTAGATGTCAGTGGCATCTTCCTAACATTTATGACAACCAGAAATGTCTCCAGGGGACAAGCCAAAAGTCCCTTGGGGAGTAAAATCGCCCCTGGTTAAGAACCACTGGTTTACAGAAAGGATTTAGTGGCTAAAGGAAGTTTGAAAACTGGGAAAGTAGATCAAGGACTTGGAGACGAGGACTAGGTTTGAGTCTTGGCACTGCTACTTTCTTGCTGGGTGGCCTCAGGCAAGTCACTGCCCCTCTCTGAGCCAGGGAGGCTGAGGGAGGCTGTGGCCCAGGCTGAGTATGGGCTGGAGTTGACTTCATGTATATGTGGAGGCACCAGTGATTCATTTATTGAGTGACTACTGAGGGCCTACCACGTGTCAGGCACTGGGAGTGCCAACAGGGAATCAGACTGGCAGAACCCCACCCTGCCTTCCTGAAGAAGCTTACCATTTAGTGGAAACTGAAAATGAATAGCGAACAAGTAAGTATGCAGTGGCAAAGTATGCTGAGTGCAAAGACAGAAATAAACAGGGTGATGGGGCAGAGAATGAAGGGGGACAGGTATCAGAGAGGGCCTCCCAGAGTAGGTGACATGAAACCGTGCTCTGAAAAGAGCTAGGAAATGGCTTCCAGGGTGAAGGAGTAGCGGGTGCAAAGCCTTGAGGCAGGGAAGAAATCAGGTTGGTGTGGGTGGGGAGATGTTTGAGACAAGGAAAGGCAGGAGGGAGGCCTGGAGCTCAGAGAACAATGCAGGGGGAGGGAGGAGATGGGGCTGAGAGGTGAAGGGGGTGGTCAGACTACAAGGGGCTTTGTGGAAAACTTGGGGAATTGTTGGAGAATTTGAAGCAGGTAATATCATGTTCCTTTGTGTGTCTTACAAAGACATCACTAGCTTCTCTATAGGGAATGGTCTGAGGAGGCAGAGGTGAGGCAGGCAGACCACAGAGGAAAGAGATTATGGTGACCTGGCAAAGTTAGCCAAGGTTTAGGGGCTGAGCATATTGTTCCAGGCAGAGGGAAACAGCACGTACAAAGACCCAGAGGTAGGAGCCAGCTTGCACATTTGAGGAGAATGAGTGTGGCTGGCTCAGAGTGGCTGGGAGGAGGTGGGAGATAAGACTGGAAGTAGCAGGGCCCCGAACACGTGGATGCTTGTAGGCAAGCCAAGAGACTGGGTTTTTATCTCAAGGGCAGGGGCAGTGTTGCAGGGTAAAGGGTCTGGGTGTCTCTCACTGACTTCCTCTCCCCACCAGGCATGAAGCTCCACAAGTGTGCCCTGTGCAGCAAGTCCTTCAGCCGCCGCGCTCACCTCGCTGAGCACCAGCGCGCCCACACCGGCAACTACAAGTTCCGCTGTGCTGGCTGCGCCAAGGGCTTTTCCCGCCACAAATACCTCAAGGATCACCGCTGTCGCCTCGGCCCCCAAAAGGACAAGGACCTGCAAGCCCGGCGGCCCCCCCGAAGGAGGGCAGCCCCCCGCAGTGGCAGCAGTGGTGGTCGCAAAGTGGTGACCACCCTGCCTGACCCGCTGGGGCTGGAGGAACTTAAGGATGCAGGGGCTGGGCCAGTGCCCGAGGCTGCCCCAGGCAAGCCACCCTTCTCGGAGCCAGATGCCGTGCTGTCTATCGTAGTGGGTGGCACGGTGGGTGGTGAACCTGAGCTGGTAGTGCCTGGGCATGCCGAGGGTCTGGGCTCCAACCTGACGCTGGCAGAGCTTCAAGCAGGGGCTGATGGTCCATGTGCCATGCTTGCTGTGCCCGTCTACATCCAGGCCTCGGAGTGATAGACCCATGGTGTTTGCTCTCATGGCCCAGCTTGATGGTCACATTTGGGTCCAGGGCCTCAGGTGGCAGACTAGAGATTCTTCCCAATGGAAGCGAGCTGTCAGCAGAAATCCTTTTGCAATGTCATTTATAAACCCTGACCCATGAACACCCCACTGTGTCCCCTATCCTTCTGGAAAGCCCTGTAGCATTCTGGGACCTGAGGCAGGGCTGCCTATGGCTTCCAGGCAGGGGTAATGGCAAGAGAGATGACTAAACCTGAGCAGCCTAGGGTCTGGCCAGTCTAGGCTGATGGTTGGGCTGCCTAAGAGAGAAGACAGGTCCTGCCCATCCCTTCTGGGCTGCCTTAGGGGTGGCCTACAGTCAAGCCACTGTTTGGGCAGCCTGACATGGTCAGAGCCCTTATCTGCTGGACCTTTTCACATAAGGTTCTTCATAACATCCCCAGACAACTCTGTGATGTAGGCATTTAGGAGACATTTGAGTGTCCTGGTTAGAGTGCCGCTATGAGCCAGATCTGGCTTTAAATCCAAATACTGCCACTCGCTCGCTGTGTGACCGTGGTAAGTCACTTCCCTGAGCCTTGTGTTCCTTATCTGTACAATGAGGCTTATGACAGTGCTACCTCATAGGGCTGTCATGGGGATCCAGTATGATGAAATATGCAAAAGGTTCAGCATAGTGCCCTGCACTTGGAAAGTGCTCAGTAAATGTTTTTATCAAACTAGTGTCCACATGGCTCAGGCCCTAACTTTGGCAGTTTCTTAGTTTCTAGATGGCAGCATTCCCCCTCCAAAGTGTGTGGGGGCCAAGGAGTTCATGGCCCCTCACACAAGGCAGGGTTGCCCCATTAACCTTGGAGAAATTTGTTGCCCTCAGAATGGTTATTTCAGAATAGAGATCCTGGAAACACTTAGAGGAAGGGGTTTATACTCACTTTTGAAAATGCAGGACCTAGACCTTGCCCCAAACCTCTTGGAATCAGAAATTCTGACCAGTGCTTGCTTCGGCAGCACATGTACTAAAATCGGAATGATACAGAGAAGATTAGCCTGGCCCTTGCACAAGGATGGCACGCAAATTCGTGAAACGTTCCATATTTTTAATTAAAACATTATAGTTGAACATTATAATATTATTCAACTATAAATTATTAAAAGACTGATTTATCAGACTGGAAAAAAAAAAAAGAAATTCTGACCAGAGCCAGAAGTGCATCTCAAGCAGGCCTCCAGATGGCCATAGATGCTCTCATGTCCAGCATTCCTTTCCCTGTCCAGAGCTATTCCAGGGGGAAGCAAACCAGGCTCATCTGGAGGCAGGGAGAGAGTAAAGGGGCCTTGACTGATGTTTCTTCATTTATCTTTACAACCATACTACTGGGCCATGAGCCTGTTACAGGAGAGGGAACTGAGGCTCAAGAGGGGACGAAGCAGGATATAGCAGGACTATTGGACTCAGTTTGATAACTGAGTTTCCTTGAAGGCTGGCACATCCCTCAGACATTTGTGCTGGGACCCAAGGCTAGAACTCCGACTTCCCCACATCCTCAGGAGAGCTAGGATGTAGTGAGGGGCACAAATGAGGCAATAGTGCACAGACGAGGGGGTCCGGGCTGTAAGTGTACCCAATCCTCAAAAAGGCCAAGAGAGGAACTGGTGGGGACAGAAAGTCTCTTCAGAGGAAGTGACATTTGAGCTGGCCCTTGACACATGTTTTGATGGATGAATAGTTAGGGGAAATTATGTTAAGGAGAGCAAGGCATGAACAAAGGCTGTGAGGTACGACAATGCAAGGCCTATTGTATTCCAGGGCTGGTGAATGGTCCAGGGTGACCAGAGATGTGAGGGGGTCATGATAATCACTAACATGTTTAAGCTTCCACTTGGACATATTATGGACACTGTACTAAGCTTTTTATGTCACATTAATTACCTCAGCCCATCAGGTGAGAATTGTTACTTTCCTTATTTTACAGATGCGGAAACAGAGGCACAGAGAGGCAAAATGCTCATACAGCTAGTAAGTCACAGAGCTGGGATTCAGGCTGGGGTGGTCTGCCTCCATGTGCTGTTAATCACTTTGCTCTATTGAAATATAGGTTGATGTCAAATCAGAGAGATCCTTGGATGTTGGGTTAAGGAATTTGGACTTTATTCTCTACATAATGAGTCATAGGAGGCATTAAACATTTAAAAAAGCTGTGACATTAAAGGAAATGTTAAAAAAACCCACAACTTTCATCTTAATAGAACTAAGTTATATTTCTGACTCTTGTCAATGTACACGTGCATGCACATTTACCAGTAATCATGAGGACTAACATTTACTAGGCACTTATGCCTTGTCTGGCATGTCCTAAGCACTTTGAAGTAGGTGCTACTTTGAATCCTATTTTACAGCTGAGATGAGGCAACAGGCACAGTGAGGTTAAGCAGCTCCAAGTCATGCAGCAGTAGGCCACAGAACAAGGGACATATCAAGATAAGGTCTAATATTTAATAGATGTACTGTTTGACTACAGGGGAGGAAGCTGGGACAATGTTGGGGCTCCCATAGCTAAATCCTTCCCAGCTTGGCAGATGAGGTGACTGGGGCTCAGAGAGGGGAAGGCCCTTGATCAAGGGTCACTCAGAGTTCATGACAGAACTGCTCCAGGTCCCCAGGGCTCCTTATAGAGCACTGAGATGCTGGACAGAGTATAGTGTAAAGAGGCTGTCCTGGGCATCCCACAGATTTGGGCATCAGGAAGAGCTGGGTTTGAATCCTGGCTCTAACCCTTCCCAGCTGTCTGTGGCAAATCACTTCACCTCTCTGAACCTCAGTGTCCTTATATGTCAAATGGGGAGAATAATAGTACCTACCTGATGAGATGTCACAATTCAGAGAGAGAATTCATGTAAAACAGATCACAAATTGGCAGCCTATGGGCTGAACCCAGACCACAAACAGACTTTGTTTAGTTTTCACAATGTTTGAAAAAAATGAGCCAACATTTAAAAATAATGAAATTAAAAACCTATTACAACAGTGGAAAATGAGATGTATTCTCTCTATGTCAGGAGCAAGACAAGGATGCCTACTTTCATGACTCCAACATTATGTTGGAGGCCTTGCCATGGCAACAAGGCAAGAAAAAGAAATAAATGACAGAAGGATCAGAAAGGGTGAAAAAATAGCAAAGATGCTGAAATAATAGCAAGAAACACTATATAAAATTTGCTATTTTTCCAATACCCAGAAGCATTTAGAAATTTAAATTAAAATCAGGAGATTTCACCTAAAAATCTGGATTTCTGACTTTTAAAATTAAATTAGGATACCTGGCACAGTTGGTTGGCAGTCAGATGGAGCTGGCGCCAGCCCCTTTCGATGGGCACATGCATTCCATATAGCCATAGTTCTCATGTTGTCCCCCGGACATTGCAACTGAACGTCAGTTGCTACCTGCTGTACTTGTTTTGATTTATCATAGAGTAGAAAAATATTTCTAATTATCCACGTGTCTCAAAAGTGGGAAAACAGGATGGCCAGAGAGGATCACATGATTTTTCACGTACCTGGTCCACTTTACTCATCCATGTCTGGACGCTGTGGGTATATGGCTTGAGGAACCCTGTAAATTCTGCTTCCTTTTCTCCCTTCCCCTTCCAGTCTTCTGTCTGCCTCTAAGCTAGCTGGCCTCAGTTCCTCACTGATAATTGTGGGGAGTTGAGTTGTAACTAACTTTACTGTCTAGTAAGCTCCAAGCCTTGTGCTCTGTGACTTATGTACATGTCAGTGAGTCCTCAAGACTCCCCTTAGAAGCAAGCTCTCTTATCATGCTCGGTGTACAAATGTGGAAACGAAGTCTCGGAGAGGTGTAGCAACCTGCCCAAGGACTAACAGCCAGAACATGTGGAGCAGGGCTTCAAACCCAGGACTCCAATTTCCTGCCTTGTCTTAGGATCTCTAAAGTTCTCACCAGCTCTGATGAGCTGGGGTTTTAACTTGGAACCACTTTTTCGAAGCTCCACCATTGTTCATCTCCTTATACATTACTATCCTACCTAGGCTGCCAACTTCTCTTGCATGGATGATTGCTTCAGCCTTCTCTTTGGTCTTCCCGCTTTTTCTCTTCCCCCACCATGATCCATTCTCTAGATAGCAGCCCAGGGAATCTTTCTAGAGCCTGAATCATATTATGCCACTTTCCTGTTTAAAATCCTCTGGTGGCTTTTGATCTCTCCCAGAATGAAATGTAAAGTTTTCCCTGTAGATTTCAAGGTTCTACATGATGCAGCCCTTGTCTCCTAACACTCTTTTCCTTCTCTCACTCCATGCCAGCCACATGCCCTCTTGCTCCTCTTCCATCATATAAGCTAGTTCCTGCCTTAGGGCCTTTGCACTTGCTGTTTCCTCTGTTTAATGGAGTTTTTTGTTTGTTTGTTTTGTTTTGTTTTTGCCTCTTAGATTTTCGTATGGCTGGCTCGCTCTCACTATTCACTTTTGTCCAAAAGCCATTCCCTCTGAGAGGCCTTCCCTGGCCAATCCTTCTAAAATAGTTCCCACCTAACCCCATCACACTCTAGTTCCTTACCCTGCTTCATTTTTATTCATCACTTTTGACATTAGATTACACACTTCTTTATTGTTTGTTCCCCTCATTAGAAGCAAAAGGTCCACAAGGTCAAGAACGTTTGTCTGTTTTGTTCACTGTTATTTTTACAGTGTCTAGAACTGCCCAGGAACCGCTCAATCAATATTTGTTGAATGAATGAACAGCAACAGCACTTTGAGAGAACAAAGCCCACTCTACCCTTCCCCTCCTCCCATTCCATGGAAGTCAAAGGTGAGTTTCCCCCAGTAAGAATCTGCCATGTAGTCTGAGAAGTGGCTAACCCAAAGTCCTAGAAGTTAATATCTGATATAAAAGACATTTTCCATTTTTAAGAGGGAGCTGAGAATATTTGGGACAAATGACAAAGGTGGTGGCTTGGAAGTCTCAGTTGATAGAGCAGGTATCCCGGTGGCCCAGAAGAACCAGTTGGACCAGTTTTGTCTCTCTTGGGGAGGAAAGAGCGAAGGTGACAACTACAGGTGCTCCCAACCCCCAATGCTGCCAGCAAGTAACCCCCATGGATTCTCATGGGCCTGAAGGGTAATAGTCAGGTTAGCAGATTCTACTGCAAGTGTTGTGGGCGACCTCCTTCTCACCAAGGGTGACTGATGTGTGGTCAGGCACAGAATGTGGCAGAGGTCCAATTTCAAGGCTTTGGGCCCTTTGTAAAATCAGAATAAACTGAAGCCCAAAAAAGGAAAGAGTATTGTCCAAAGTCTCATCATGGCAAGGATTAGTCCAGACCGAGTTTTCCTGCCCCCACCCCCCATCTCTGCTACCTCAGTCCATTCATTTATTCATTTGACAAATATTTATTGAGCACCTACTACAAGCTAGGTATAGTTCCTGCATTGAGGATACATCAGGAACCAAACAATGATCTGTGGAGATCCCCTGTGGAAGAAGCAGAAGATAAATAACAAAGTAACTAAGCAAATTATATGATATGTTAGAAGGTGATGAGTATTGTAGAAAGAAGAAAAAATAGAAGAGAATAGAGGTTTGGGAGTGTGGGTTAGGAGGCAGATTGTAGAATTATATGGGGTGACCTAGAAAGTCTCACTGAGAAGGACACATTTAGCCCTCTAGGGCACAGCACCTTTTGTGTGGCCTCCACATGCTCGGATGAATGGGTATGGAGTATGGAGTAGATCCTGTAACCCACCATTAGCTCGAGTGCAGAGGCCCCCCAGTGCACAGTTTCCCCCCACTCGCCCCTCTCAGGTTCTACCAGGTTTGTCCTACCCCTATCGCTAACTACCCTATTCCTCAGGAAGGTCATACCTTCTCCCAGACCCATTACACTTCATTTTTATGGGTTTGTTTGTATCTGTCCACCCATTCATTTGGACATAGGCAGTATAGTGTATGGCTAAGCTGGTCATCTTTACAGTAAGAATTCCAGCTCTGCCTTTACAAGCTGTGTGACCTTGGGCAAGCTGTTCAACTTTTCTGTTTCCCTAGTACCTACTGTATAAAATGAGGACAATAATAATGCCCACTT